GTAGTACGTAGTAGTAGTACGTACGTAGTAGTAGTAGTAGTAGTAGTATGTAGTATAGTAGTATATATATAGTATATATTATTNNNNTATATATGAGAGAGAGAGAGAGAGGTACATGAGCTTGTAAGGGAGTGTGTTGAGTTCAGGTTGAAGCTCTGAAAATTGGGGCAGGTTGATCTGCTGAGGCTAGTTGGTGTTGTGCTATATTTCTTGCTTGGGTTTGTAAGAATAAATGTGATGATGGAAGCAGGTGGTCATTTGTTTCCCTTTATTGTGATGGTGATGTTGAATCATAATTTCAATTTGAAGCCATGCATCTTCTGTTTGAGTTGCTTTGGATCTCCTTTCTCTCTCTCAGCTACATTTTATTTCCACAAGTGGCAGATAGTAAAAGTTCGAATAACTTGAGTTTGTGTAGCGCAACTTGCTCTTGGCTTGGTAACACATGTCAACATTCTTACGATAGGCTTGCCTAGTTGAGAGCTGTATTTGAATTATAGGCTCTCTATTTGAATTATAGACACTCCTTACTCCTTATTCATACTCCTTACTCCTTATTCGTACGAGGAATGTCTATATTTCAGATATGGGATATCTGCCGTTCTGGACCTCAATGCATTTACTAGGAATCAATGCAGTATTACCTAAGTACCTTAATTTTAGGTTGGTATCGTGTGTCGACACTATCAAGATTAACAACCTTATTTTTCCATGCCATGCTATATGAGAGCTCAAAGGATAAAAAATACTTATATTTTAGACATGGGGTGTTGTCCAGGCTACCCAAAAAGGCTCCACCCTGAAATGAGTAAAAATGATGAACTCTACCATTGGGCTTATGTAATTAAATATCGATATGTTTATTGTAGGTAGAAATTGAAAATAAAAGAAGCTTTTTCAGACAAAATTAAAACAAAAAACAAAAACAAAAAAAAACAATTTATGCAATATTCTTCAAAAATTTCAAATTTCACTCATTGAAGTTAAACACGATAACTCCATATATATGTAATAACTTTCAAAATTAAGCTTGTAGCTGGTAATACATTAAGAGATTTACGTATTTATATTTAACACCAATTGTATAATATTTTTCTTTTCCTTTTATTTTTAACTGTTTAGGCTAGGATTTGTGAGTTGTAGCCTGTAACCCATGTGGTGAGCACGAGAACAAGAGCAATTCAAAATTAAATTATAATTATTCTACTTAGTTAAAATATAAGTCACTCAAGTTTTATAAGACAAAATTATGGAGCAAAACATAAAACAACAGATAATATGTATATGTTAGTAATATACTAATATGTCAGAGAATATGCCAAAACATTATCTGAGGATGAGATCTACAAATATTAATTTAAATTTTTATTGTGGCCGAGCAGTTTTTATCTTCTTTTTTTAAAAAAAATTGAAATTTTTTGTAAATTTCATATTATATATATACATCAAAAAATATAGTGCATTTAAAAATTTTATGAAAAACTAACTGTACAAATGTGTCTGCTGTGCACTAAATGTTAAAAACTTGGAACACCTACTGATCATGAGTTCATGACACCCGATGTCAGTGTTCAGTGTCCATATAACCCGCGTTCCTTATGGATTTGACCTAATTTCCATTTTATCGAATCTTTTTAAAATGACGCACCCCAGCCTCCAAGCCAAGAGTAAAACTGTCGCAAAAAAAATAGAAATAAGTAAATAACTATGAAGCTTTTAGGGGTGACATGGACCCCGCACCCAACCCGCTACCCAAGGACTAGACCCAATCTGGATGGGGTATAGATCTAAAAATTGGATTCGGTGCATCGGGTTTGCGTCCAAATCTTGAACCCAAACACTATTTAGATCAGGAATATTTTTCAATATCAATTTATAAAATATATTTAAATATAATTAAATACATAGATATTTTAATTTTTGGGTTGGATCCGGTTGGGTCTGGGTTTAGATATGGTTGGACCCAACCCGACCCAACATGATTGGTTGTCACACCTAGTAGCTTTGGACTTGTAGAGCACCTTTAAGTAGGGCTAGTGACAGGCCAGGAATGCCCTAGTCCTAGCACGACCCTTGTCCCCTAAGGTCGGCCCAAGCTCGACTAGCCCCAACCAGGCCATGGAGGCCCTCGCCCACCAAATAATTTAAGAAAAAATAGTGCCGCTGGGCCAACCAGGCCCAGCTCTCAACCACATTTTGTAGCCCAAACCCAACTTGTTTGGGCCCCAACCAAACCAATGGGCCCATTGCCAACCCTAACTAAGTGTCCAATAAGTGTACTAGGAACTACCTAAGCGCCCAATAAGTGTACCAGGCACTTTTCATTTTCTCGAGGGAAAAGTTTATATAGAGCCGAGGCTCTAAACAAAATTTGACTTGAACAGGTTGTTTTGATGCTCAAATATCTTCAAATTGATCATTTCGGCATCAAGAGGTGGACAAGAGAAAAAAAATGGGTTGCAAGTTATTGAAAATAGTGTATTTTGTAACGTATTTTTGGACCGTTAATTTTCAAGATTTTCAAATTTTCATAGATATGTCGATTGACACTATTTTTGAAGCTTTAAACTTTATAAATGACAACAAAAATATATTTTAAAGATATCACAAAGATTTTCAATATTAAAGCCATATTTCCCGATACTATTTGAAGGTAGGCTCTAATTTGATTTCTTAGAGCCTAGGCTCTATGCAAACCGCACCCTTTTCTCATAGGCTTTTGAAAAAGCCAAAGGCTTATAGAAAGGTACAAATACCATGTGGCACATATCCATCAGCAATTCCTTCAAATAGTGCTTCTTATGTTTCCCATCAACCCACAAGGACTCCTGACCCAAAAAAACGACACACAAGGACTTAGTAGAATAATATGGTACATGTACCTTAATATACATCCATTTAATGAGATATTTATCAAAATATATCTTAAGAAATTCATGTTTAACATTTTATCATTATTTTGTCTTACTTTCAAAAAGGGTGGCGAGAGCTGGGTTTAATCTTCAACATTTCTCTTCTCTCTCTCTCTCTCTCTCTCGATTGTGGGGACTATGATAATACAATTGCAGTTGTTTAAAAAATCATTGGGTTCTATTTTTCTATTTTTGAAGTGCAAAAAATGGTTTGTGTGAAATCTTAGTTGCTAGGTTGATTAGGTCACATTTTCAAAATTTAAGGTCCTAAAAACATTGCATTTTACGTGATATAATATTTTCAGTTTATAATAAAATCAAGGAAAATGGTTTGATAGGGCTGCAGCCCTTTCAAAATAAGTAGTGCCTCACCTCATAACTCATCGAAAATTGCAGTTCATGCATTAAAAACCTTCACATCTATCATCTCGACTTGAACATTATAATTGTGAAAAATTAGGATTTCAAACTATAAAAAAAATGTATATTGTAACAAATTATCTAGACCATCTATTTCGCCTTAAAAATAAGTGTTCATATATTGTCAAGATCTATACTGTTTTTTGAGTTTCAAATTTTTATAATCAGTGTTGAAAATTGATTTTAGAGCCATTGTAAATATTTATATTGCTGCAAGTACCTTCCAGGATTTGAGGTGAGGCTTTATTTTGTTATCATAAAGCCTAAGCCTTATAAAAAGCTCATCCTTTCGGCAAACTACTTTCTTGGGATATTGGTATTTTTCAATACGAAAATCTCCTCCAACATATATAATGCTTAAGAGGGACCAAAACTTAAATCGACTTGATCATAATTAACATATATTACAATAATCTCATCGTAATGCGACTGAAGTGTACATTCCAAATTATGTTGGAGACCCTTGTTAACCCCAAATTTTAATTTAAAATGACAATCTTTTGATCCAAATGAAAAATCTCAAAAAATAATAAATAAATATACAAACACATCATGAAAAGCAGTTTTAAATATCATAAATTTGATGAGATGAATAGATCCGAGTTTCATGGAGTTTTTTTACCCATATTTTTATAGATGGGCTTATCATGATCAGATTAACAATTTTGCTAGTAAGAACTTGATTTGAAGTTCTTAAAGACCTAGATCTCAATATCCACTACAAACAATAGTTCAGATCATAGTTAGCACGTTATTTATTAAAATATTATTTTTTCAAAAACCTTTGATTTTTTTTGTAAATCAATTAAGAACTCCAATTTTTCCAAAAGTTCTTCAAATATCGCTTTCTTTTTTATGGAACCAATATAAGCACCAATTTTATTGCATTTCAAAGAACATTCATATTAATCAAATTAAATCAAGAATCTTGATTTGACAAAGATAAATTATATTTATATATAAAAAAATCACTAACTTATTCCCCATTCTCAAAATAGTTATTTGCCCCAATTAACAATGTTAAAAAAGAAAATTTAATTTTGAATTTGTAAAGGCCTAGATAAGAGATAGTCGAGATTCATTTATGGAGAGCACTCATATTGACCATATCTATGGTGAAAATTGTATTTTATTTATTTTTGCATTGATTATTGAGAAGAAAAAAGTGTTTGCAAACTTTAGGACCATACAAATGCCACAAACATGATTTTCTAAAAATATGGTTTTATTTTATTACAATGACACGGTGATATGAAATCATTCCTCCAATACATATTCTATATTCCGTATGTGTGCTCTGAATTTTTGCCTCCGACATTTAGAGCAAAATAATTTAATATCATTTTATGGTCTGTATTTTCCCCAATTGATTCACTATTGGAGATCGAAACCCCAAAGGTAGTATAATATAGTTTCCCAATGATTTGACATTCCATATCCTAAAGATAAAAAAAAAAAAAAAAAAACGTTACAACTAAAAAGTTTAAAAGATAAAAATTACACATGAGAGTGTGCCCCTAAATTTCTATATCAGTTAGATACGTGCTTCGAAATAATGTCAATTTTTTTTCAAATCGCCCAATAATTAAAGATAATTTGATAATGTTAACCCAAAGATGCCTTGACCGAATGATAATTTGAGGCAAAATTACTCCTGGCTTCCGAACACCAACCAAGGGTAATTTGAAATCTTTTGAATATTCTTTTTTTAGGGCATCATCCTCATCATCATATCATTTTCCCAATTATTTGAAATCTACACGAATCCAAACTACCATTTTGCTCTATTACAAGTCATACATTTGAAACCATAAATCCTCATATCTTTTTGAATTACTTTTAACCACGTCTTATTGGGCTTACCTCTTATCATTTTCTGTCCTTCCACTTAAACTAACTCGCACCTAATCGATGTACTTGATCGGTGCCACAAGTGACCGAACCACCTAAATCTACTCTCTCATCTTATCGCCTATTGGTGCGATACCTAAATTCTCTCAAATTGATTCATATAAAAATGTAAAAACAACATGCTCAAAGTGTAATTTGTGAACTTTTAACGCCTTGGGTGATATTGTATTTTCCCAATAGATTCCCTCCTACAAGGAATGCATCACTTCCACCGTCTATTTCCACTTAGATGAACGTTAGTTCAACCGACCAAACAAACAAACTTATAAATATATGAGAACCAGGAAACAATCTTATTCAGAGTTTCAGACCACCAATATCATTTTTATTCAGCTTATGAAGAATTCCTCAATTTAAATATACAAAAACCTCGAAATTTTCTTTTGAATCTCAAAAAGCCCTCCTCATGGATGGATCCAATGCAATTGAAAAATACTTCAGGTCCACAACTCGGGCATTCGCGGTCGGGAAAAAAGATAATTAAAAGGAAATAGAAAGAGAACAGGACCCAAAAAAAAATATTATGGTACATCTTCCAAGAGGCTTAACCCATTAAAAAGAAAACCTCTTGCTCAAACTCTTGTATCAACTCCAATTTGTGCGAAACATGAAAATGCTGATACCTCCTATTGCCAATGCCAATAGCAAAGGGCTCCCAACTAATCCAGCATTACTCAATCTGCTAAAACCATCCGATCTGCTTGGACGAGAAGCTTTTCGCGCAATATTTTCATGGACAAGGCTACTGAGATTGTCTAACTGGTGCATAATCTGGCGTTGGCTACGTGCCATTGCTGTGATCTGAAACAAGCAAAGGATTGTGGATCGACAAATTTTTTTAACATAAAGTAAATGAAAACAAGGGAAAGAATATCCATCGTGTACCTCATCCACTAATGAAAATTCCCTTGATAATTGGTTTGATGAAGAAGATGTGTGGAGTAAAGATCCGGTCATGTTGCCATTGCCATATCCTGAACTGTAGAAAGATGGCGGTGCAGAGCCATTGCAGATCTCGGTTTGTAAAGCCAAGTTCTGTTGGCTCCCTAAGGATTTGGTGACAGTTAACTTTGAACTGAGTTCTTCGATTCGAGATGTAAACTCATCAAGCCGCTCATGTAAGGTGGATATCTGCTCTGACAGTTGAGTCATAACTCCCTGAAATGAATTGGAAGAAGATCAATCCAGCTGTACTAACAAACCTGCAAAGTTACTCCCAAAGCACTGAAAAATAGAGCCTTATTCTTTTGGAAATCAAGGAAAACTATATTTTTGAAGTAAAAATTGTTGAAACCTCACAGAAATTTTCAGATAAATATATTTTACATAATGGTTATCAAGATATTTTTTACCCCATCTTTTTGAAAGACTCAGCTAATAGAAATTTTAAGTCAGAAAAAGTATGGAAAATAGGAAATATCCAATCTTCCAAAAACTTTCAAGTTTCTTTTCCATTTCTACTGTCACACTTTTTTATCTTTGATGCCCCATAGATTTCATGTGAAAATGTCCAAAGAAAAAGCAGACTTTTGGAAACCCATGGAATTACTTTGCATGGTAGTCCCAAAGAGTGAACTTCTTGACTATCACCTCAGCCTAAAAAAGTAAAAAGTCACTAGCATTTAATTTTAGAAGAACTAGATGTTCACATGAGAAGAGAATCCTGAACCAGAGAGTAAGTTCCTCAACCAGGGAGGAAGTTAACATACAAATTTTCAGTTGAGAGTAGCCGAAATGAAGATGACTTACCAGAAAGGTGGCAACTGAGTTTGCATTTAAAAGAATAAGCATAGAATTCCACCTTTCTGGTAAGGTGGCAACTTGGGCTTGTCATAAAAAAATGTGAAATATTCTTTCAGTTATTGGCTCTTTTAAATTTTGAGTTTTTATTTCTGCTCTGATGATAACGATGATGACTTCCGATCTCCCACCTCCGCATGGGGTTTTTAAGAGGGATAAATGACTAATTTACCACTCTTTCTATTAAAATGGATTAGAATACGAACTTGGTATCTCTCTCTACATGAGCCTACAAAACTAAAGCTCCCTCTCAAAAGTAAATCTCTCTCCCTCTCTCTATCTCTGTGCATCAAACCCTAGTCTCTCACGCTCTCTGCATTAAACCCTAGTCTCTCAATGACTCATCTTCAAAACTCAAAAAATTGATCATGCATACTTAAAACACAACCAAATGGGGAAAAGGAAAGAGGTTACAGGTTGGTTTCAAGCATAAGATTGATCATGCGTACTTAAAACACAGAGAAACAAGCTTCTTTAAGGAATCATTAGAGGACCAGATAAATAGTACCTTTGCAGACTTAGGGCACTAAGACAAGGGAGTGAAGATGAGGCTTTACGCCATTGAGAACTTATGGAAGAGAGATTCAAACCACCAAGACTGAGCTCCTCTTAGTTATTGAGGCTTTGAATCAGAGTTTAGAGGTCCATGTTCACATGCTTTAATAAGTTCGAAGAGAAGAATGCAACAAAGAGGTTGAGAGGTCAATATGAACCAGCGAGGTCAATCATGAAATTTCCTTCAGGATTTCACCCCAAAAACCAGAATTGGAGAGGTTTAGATAAACTAAAATTGTCAGCTGAGGGAGGTACAAAAGACAGAGAAGCTATTTAAGCTTAGACCAAGGTTTTAAGGTGTGTTAAATTGAAGAGAGAGAAATTATCAGAAATTGGCAATTGTCATGAGCTGCTCAGGTTAAGTTTTTGGACAAAAGCAGTGAGACTGTTGCAGGTGATGCCTTCCCATTTGCAACAATATGAGTTGGGTATCCATGACTGAAGCCTTAGAGGAGTGGAAATTAACCTTTTTTTGAAATGGAGACGTACAATGTTCTAAGTGCTTGGGCTTGGGGTTGGGATCTAACTAGAGAGAGAATGAAGAAGCACAAGGGCCATCTCAGGGAGGATAGTTGATTCATTGGAAGCCACGGAGTGATTGAGCCCACTAGGAACATTGAGGGAAGGTTGTTTTGAGAGAGAGAGAGATGCAATTTCCTACCTTTGGGAAGTTGGAAATGGTTCCGTTTGAGTCTTGAGATAGAGGTGGTATGGGAATCTGGTCTACCCATGGCCACTGATTTGGCACGGTGGGAGTGTGAGGAAAATTGGAAGAGAAAATAGTTGGAAACTTGGAATGTAAAAATGAAGAGTACAGTACTAGAGGGAGGGAGAGAGAGAGAGAGAGGGTTTTGAGTTTAGACTTTTAAAAGAGAGGGACCTGACTTTAAGGAAAAAGGACCAAAAAACCACAACTAGCCTCTTTTAATGGAAGCCAATTTGCAACTACCCAAAAAAAAAAAGCAAATTTACCCCTCCAAAAACCCTACTTGGAGATGGGGGTGTCAAAGTTAAAAACTAAAATTTCAGAGGGCCAATGTCTTTCCATAAAACATCTTATATGTTTTTCTCTTCAAAATCCCTTAAAAAAATGATAAAATAGAATATAGTACGATTTCAATTTCCTTTCCTAAAATTTCAAATATTTTTAAATAGAAATTAATTATTTAACAAAAGAGATAATATTCATATTTAACATTTTTTTGAAAAAGTTATCATACATGAGAAATTTATCGAAGAACGTTGAAAATCCTTATTTCATTATGGTAAAATTCGTCAAAAAAAATTAATTGTATATATGCAAGTTTACAATTAATTTCATGAATTGGCGCTTCATACAACGCATGCGCCATTCATGTGTGTAACGAAGTGAAAATACTTTTTCTTCTAAACATAAGTTTTGAGAAGAAAGGAAGGCTCTGGAACTTGCCTGATTTGCAACTGCTGATGCAGGTGATTGAGGAGTTCTTGATTCAAACCTTTTATTGCTGACTTGGAGTTTAGTTAGATTGGAAAGATTCTTATCACGTTGAGTTGAATAGGAGTGCGACATACCACTGTAAAGACATAATCAATATATGTTTACTACATAGTCCTAGGGGCAGGGGGACGGGAGGCGGGGGGAGAGAGAGAGAGAGAGAGAGAGAGAGAGATGAATCCATAATAGTTGGTTCAAGATTCATAATTAGGTTGGCTTGAACCTCTTAAGATGCTTGGTTCTCATAGCCACTCGATCTGCAGAGGCTCGGGAAAGTGCTTCTTTGGGGCTTGAAGCCATATCATCGTTGATACTTAGCTTTGTCTTCAGATCATCTGGCAATGCCTGAGGTTCAAACAAGGTCAGTTTAGACACAATACATGATATCTACAGTACCAACAAAAAAGATAATCATGAATTCAGTTTACAAAATATGAACACCAGGAAGAGATCACCCAATACCATGACTTCATTAATGAGCTTTTCAAGCTGAATCTGCTCTATGTAGGTGCGTGCAATATATGATCCATCCAGCCCTAATCGATGTGCTACATCTTTTACAACTACACGATCTCTTCCTTGCACCTTTTGCCAGATTCAAAAAATGAAAAAATAAACATTGCCTGTGAGAAATGATTGCTTTATATATCAGTTAAATGCCTGCTATAATGTAATTAAGCATAATACAACCAAAGATATGTGGGCATCCAAAAGTAGTGACAAGTAAAAAGGGAGGAAGCCTTGGTGCTTCTATTGCTAAGATGGTAATCAATTTATCATTGCACTGATTCGGACACTTTCCAAAGAAGATTTCAAGATGGATTTGACTATTTACAAATGTAACTTGAAAAATCAATTGATTTATTAGCCAGTATTGGAAAACTCAGAACTCAGTGGCCCACTCATTCATTGCCCAAACTGAATTAACTTGCTGAGTCAAGCAGTCAACTTGGAAAAACCTGACGAGTTTTTCACATTCGCATCAAAACTTTTCTAAGAACAAAGGGGCAACGATGGGAATCGAGCCCAACTTGTCAGCCACATCATCCCCCTATGCCACTACATCTGAACAGAACATCAAACAACCAAATAAACAAGAAAATTATATTTAATGAATAAAACTCGAGACATATCCTGAGTTTCAATTATAAAACTCACCAAATGAAGGAGCTGAGTTAAATTGGCAAGATTTTCCATCTCAGAAGTTGAAATAAATTTTATTAATTGCAGAGCAGTGCCCAGAGTATTGGATGAGGAAACTTGTCATTGCAAGAATAAATGGTTAAGACATCATGGTCGGCTGGTTACAACAAGCTCGTTAGCTTGTTAATGAACAGTGTGATTGTGCATGCTTCAGGCTGACTTGTTTGCCTTACTTTCACCTATTGAGGTTGACTGTTATTCACTCAATTGGTTCTCTCTCGTGGTCTATCCCTCGTCTCTCTTCCCAGAGGTTGTGCTTAACCACCACAAGCCTGGTGTAGGACCATAAATGATAGTCCCAGTGGGATGAAGTAATCCTCTTCAATTCTACTCATGAAACAGGCGGCAGAAATTTCCCAAGGACATGCAACAAAGGTCAAGATGCCTACTCGGAAACAATGAGAAATTTAAGGGTAAATAAAAAGAAAACAGAAACATATCATCTATCCCAGATTCTATGGTCAGAGGCAGAATTACAAGCTACATGATATAGCCATGCCCTCTAAAGCAGTAAACATTTTTAAGTTTTTCAACCATCCTCCTCTCTTAGTTGAATAATATAAAGAGACAAATAAGTATGATTAAGTTTAACGTAAAACTCTAGACTTCTACCAAGTTTCATTTATAAAACTCGCCTAACGAACAAGTTGAGCTAACTTGGGCAAGTTTTTCCATCTCAAAAGTTGAACAAGTTTTTTTAATTGCACATTGGATGGGGAAGGTTGTTAATAAATGGTTAAGACAGAAGGCATCATGGGGGCTGGTTAAGATAAGCTCATTAGCTTGGTTAATGAGCAGCTCAGTAGCATGATTGTGCATGCTTCAGGCTGACTTGTTTGCCTGGCTTTCATCTATTGAGGTTGACTGTTATTCACTCAATTGGCAGTCTATCCCTCTTCTCTCTCATGGTCTATCCCTTTTCTCTCTCTTTCTTCCTGGAAGTTGTGCTTAACCACCACAAGCCCAGTGTAGGGCCTTAAATGAGAGTCGACAGTGGGATGAATTAATCCTCTTCCATTCTACTCATGAAATGGGTGGCAGAAATTTCCCAAGGACATCCAACAAAGGTCAACATATATACTTGAAAACAATGAGAATAAAAAAGAAAAAAAAAATGAATAGCTAACGTATCATCTATCCCAGATCCTATGGTCAGAAGCAGAAATACAAGCCACATGATATGGTCAAACCCTCCAAAGCAGTAAACATCTTTTAAGTTTTTCAACTATCCTCCTTGCATAGTTGAATAATACAAAGAAACAAATAAGTATGATGTTTGAAAATTCAGAATGTAGATATGTATAAGAATAGTGCACAACCATAGAAAGAAATCACATCATTATTATCTATACTTTACTAAAAAGGATACTTACGGCAACTAAAAATATGAAGAAATAAGATTTGAACAAGATGCTGGAATAAATACCTGAACGTAATGGCGATTCAGCTGCTCTAACCAATCTATTTTGATACATGCTCTATCATCAATGAAAACATGACTGCTTCTTTTTAAAATGGTTGCAATGGTATAACCCAAGGCCATAAGTCCACCAAGAAGACGCACACTGACTTCAAATGTGATTCTTGGGGAAATAATGAATGGACTGTCTGTAACCCATTCCTGAAATAAATGAAAAAATGGATGAGCTCACAAGTTATGCATGTAATTGGATCAAAGATTTCAGACATGCCAAGAAACAATTAAGAGGTCAATCAGTGCACTAGAGACTGGCATGGCAGCCAGATACATAATTGCTCAAAGGTAGTCCAGGCTCTAGACCATAGAGCATTTTGTAAATACTTGCTTCGTAGTCGGATACCAATCAACCAAATGTTCTTTAAAACATAAAATTCAAATATAAGAGAACCAATAAATTACTCAACAAATAAAAGCAGCATAAAAGATTCAACATTCGTAGCCCATCAATAGCTAAATGCCTATGCGTGGAAGTCGTGTACTTCAATTTTAGTTATTCATACTGTTCATCATACACCAATTAAGACTAGAAGAAAATAATGTGCCATTTATGCAGATAATACATGCTGGTGATAGTAAAATTTCACACACCTACTAGTTCATAGAAACCAATGAACAACCAAACAATAATTCGTTAACTCATTTTTCATTATCATAACAATTTCAAGCCACATTTGCATTATTATCGAAGATAATACTCTCAGACGAAGAAAAACCTAGGACCGAGTTCACTGGCCTTCTCCATCCTTCGTATTTGATAGTAGACAACTAGAAATAATTCCAGAGGGGCGGATTCCATAAATCCCATTACTAGAATAAAACCTAGATCCACAAAAGTTACAATGAGATATAATGAAAACTCAACATTTTCTAAAAAGATGATAGTGTTTTTGAGGCTTCAAGTAACCCTCTAGAGACCACTTCATTCCAGTAGTCAAACGGCACATTATTTAGCCTCAACCTATGGGCTTGCACAATAGAATTTTTCAAGCGTAATATATATCTCCTGATCCTGTATCCAGAGTTGAGGAATTCCTATCCGTGTAGCCACCCCTAAAACATCTTTTCCATCAGACTAACTCTAAATACCCTCACATTTCCAAACTTACATAACATATCTATCCTCATCCCAAACTTAAACACAAGGTTAGTGCCCAACATCCTCCAAGCAAACCATAAACCATAAACTTGCTGGTAAAGGAAAACATTATTTAAAACTACACCTGGCAAGGGGCTTGGCCGATGTGGCCCAAGCCCTGCCAGAGACCCTAGATGTTTGGCTCAGGCCCAGAGAGGATAAAGGGCCTTGGCCTGGCCCTTCTGGTGGCTAGATGGCATGACCTGGCCTTCTTATTGGTTTAGGCTGGGCCGGGCCAACTGATCCCAATTTTTTTTAGGGTATTGTAATAATCATCATCATCATCCAAGCCTTGTCCCAATTTATTTGGGGTCGGCTTCTAGGGTACTAAAAAATACATGAAAATGTAAAATGTCGGTAGAAAGGGACTCGAACTCAAGAAATAGTGACTAGCATGAATATAAACTAAGCGATAAAGCCAAATCCATTCGTTGTGTAGTGTTTTATTGAAAAAATATAGTGTTTTATTGAAAAAATATTCAATAGATTTAAAGTTCCACACATGGATGCATTATAATGTATTCCTCTCTCCTACAAATAACTTTTGATCTCTCTCTCTCTCTCTCTCTCTCTCTCTC